GCAGGACTTGATCCCGTACCAATTGAGATCACGCATGCCAAACAAGGTTCTTCTTTTTTCTCCTAAAAGTATTTACATCTAATGTATGAGCTTGCCAACAGAGGTTTTTCAGGGCAAAGCTTTGGCGGTGTATTTATTTTCTAACTATCGCTGTCTTCAAAAACCAATGCGTCACTAATCCCATAAGGATTCGATAAAAGCTCATAGAATGAAATGAAAGATGAACTATGCTCATTTCATCGCCGATGCATAAGCGGTAGATAAAAGCGTTCCTTTATGTTAGGGGTACCGATAAGCTACGTATCAGATATATTTTAATCAGACTACCATTTTAAGTTTAAGAAGCAAAGAAGGCTTTGTAGATCCATTACATTAGTGCGTTGCTGCAAGAAATCTACAATATTTGAGAGCGTTTCGGTGACGTTCTGTAAGCCAGCACTGGATGTCCTTCAAGTTTATGTCTCCCAAAAAATAAGGCCACCTTCCCTTCGTTTGCTGGGTTTCTTTAGTTCTGATACTGAATGCTTTTCTGTTTTCTGCAAAATGCGGCGTTGCAAATCAGTATTTTACCATCGACTCAATGATAAACTCTTCTACACCAGCGCATTTACGAATGGTGAGTTATTGCCTAAATTGTGAACTGGACATCAAAAACGGAAAAATTGAGGCAATGTGGACTTTTTGTAAGCCCATCGATGAAGAGCACAAACAATGCTATCAAATGCAAGTTAATTCATGCCGTCCATCTCCTTTGTAGCTGTACGTTAACGGCTCGATTATATTTCCAAGCTAAGCTGTCTAAGCTTTTGTAACTCATCGGATTGCAGTTGCATACCATTTAGTGCAACTGGGACAGGTTTGTCTTTTTGATATGAGCCCCTACAGTACTTCTGCGAGAGGAATAGATGACTAGTTAGGCGAAGCATTTGCTGGGCAGAAGTTCGACCACCAATCTTCCCCATTTTGACTCTCTGCGAGATATAGTTAGAAATCAGGCCACTATTAAAGCTTCAATTCAACCTCGCATTGGGACAGTTCAAAGTGAGAGAGAATGGATTTTTGCAACCTAGCACAAGTTTCAACGCTAGAAATTTTTAGATAAACTACACTTACTTTGTTGCTAGCATATTCTTTTTCAAGACGCGTTGTTTGTAGAAAATCGGCAATAAGTGCTTGAGTTGGATTATTTGCTACGAGGCCACCATCAGAAAGGCCATTATAGGAGTCAAAGAAAAATGGTGCAGCACTAAAAATAGTAATTTTAACTTTAAACAAAATATAGAAGTGGCACAAAGTGCAGACCATGTGCAACGCGCAGCCTTCCAAACTAAGATTTTGTCAGGATCTAGATAGTCCAACTGCTCTCTCACAGCCTCTGGGATTTTTGGGGCGAATGATCTAAACAGAACAAGGTTTGCTGGTGACCGCCTTGTATCCGCCACGGTGACGATGACCCTAAAATAGTTTGAAATACTTCCTAACCAGAGGACGTAAAATTGGTTGCTCACCTAGGCCCATTTTCCGAAAAGCTTCCCATATGTTTCAGTCCAAAAAGAAATTTTGCTGCGTCGTCTAGCCCTCTAGAGTTATGCTTGGGAACTTTCACCTTCAATAAA